GAAATGTGTTTCCATGGAATCTACATACAGCCCACAAAAAATATTACACTTCTTTTATGAAGCATGGATGCACTAGGAAGACATTAAGATCTTGATATGAACAATTAAGGATAAGTCATACCTTGTATATCCCTACACCTCATGCTACTTATCCAAACCGCTCATCTTGAGCCCCTTCTTTTGTTCTGCTATTTAAGTAGGTACGTTGGTACTTTCTTTCATGTGACAATGCTATAAATATTCTCCCAGCATTACAGACCACAGATAACGAAAACATTCCATTTCACATAATGAAATGAATGTAATTTCAGTCATTACATGAGACAACTGGCTTCAGTGGCTTCTCTGACTGGAAATCAATGGATCACTTTATGTTGTAGTCTTACACAACTGAATATAATTACTCAATTCATTTCTTTGATTCATATTGTCTAGCAAGTAAAACTTAGATCTCACACAGAAAATAACGCTCCATTTTACGTTCACGCTTCTGTTCACTGACATAGATCTTGAAATTAGTTGCGGGATTTTAGACTTCTCAGTTTTGCCCAGCAATTCACAAATTGTAACAGACATAGCTGAGCAAATAGCTACAGTTTTGATTTTAAACACTGCTATTCTTATGAAGTATCAGGATATTACTGTGATGTTGACACTTCTTTCAAAACACTCTGCCAGGTGTAACCATTCTTTAGCCTCATTTTTTAAATTTGAAATTGAACACCAGAACATGCAATCTTTTCCAAAAAAGATTGGGGTCCCTTAAAGTCAGCAATGCAAAATTCCCCTACTGGAAAGCTAGTGAGATAACAAGATAGACAAGACAGATGAGACACAAATAGAAGAAAGGACAGGAACATGCAAAGAAATTAAGAAATTAAAGGTCCATATTTATAAAAACTTTGGCACATTTTAAATGCTTAATATGGATAAGAGATTTATATAGTCCCTTCCCCATCCACACTTGTGGGTCCCAAACATGCCTTCTTCTACTGTGTAGCCTGATTCTCTGTATGTCCTTTAAACAACGTACTGTGATTAAGCTCCATCCTGGAGAAGGTAGCAAAACTGCAATTATATTTAATATTTTGTTGCTAAGTTTTTTGTTTTGGTGTGTTTTTTTCCAGACATCAGCCTCAGCCTGCCTGGGCACGTTAACTGAAACATGGCTAAACTGCCTCCAGGGACAACTCAATCTAGTTTCTCTCAGCCTGAGCTCTCAGAGTCTCACAAGTGAAGCTCCTTGTGATGCTTTCAGCATCTCCACTCTGTACTCCCAATACTTGCTGTGTTTAAGGAACACGAGGGGATATTAGAGTGCAGTTTGCTCCAAGCTGACCTCCAAGACCAAACTGACCTGACAAGCAGTCCCTGTGTGATGTCGGGACCACCCTACTATCTGGGGTCTTGGAGGATTGATTAGCCCCAGCCTCACACAAATGCCCAGACTACCACCTTCCACACTGCTCTGGAGGGCCCACTGTAGACACACGCAGCCAACCTCAATATCATTTGCTGTGAAGTGCAAAATGATCCATTTCGTATGCAACACAAATTTCTCTTCCATCAGTTCTCAGCACAGGGTTCCTCATCTGTGTACCCTGCATTCACCCTTTTCCAGCCCTGTCCACGCTCTCCAGCAGGCACCATTCCTGCTCCAGGAAAAGCAAGCTGCACGCTCACCACTGTGCAGCATGCTGCCACACAAACTGCCTTTTCCAGTTCTCTGCAAACAGGCACTCTGTATCAGAGGGAAGAATTCACAGTTCTCTCTCCCCTGTTTGTTAGCATCCATGCTTTTACACTTCTTTCTGACATCTCTAATCAGGGAATCATCAAGACAGCTCCAGAATGAAGATTCCCTTTCCCAGTGTGTCTCCTCCATTACTCATTTCACTCTCTCCAGGCCCTGCGCTTCTCTCCCCATCTCTCTCTCACGTTCCTCTCTTAACAGGAAAGGTTATGCAAAACCTTTTTTTCAACATGCAGGCTATGGTATTTGGCAGTATGTGGAACTGGAGGGAGAAGAAAAAAACCAAACCACTGAACTCATGGCACATCAGAAACGCTCTAAACACTGTCATATCTCCAGGAGGAAGCTGACCAGGGCAGGATGTTTCAGACCGCATCATTAAAAGCTGCACAGAGGAGCACTGCAATACCCGCCCACGACACGGTTTCGGTCCCGTTCCCAGCACCGAGCCGGGGGTACCGGCACACCCCAGGGAGATGCCTCGTGTCCAAGCGCGGGGCAGGAAAGGCCGGCCCTGGGTTACAGCGGGCGCCCCGAGCCTGGCCGAGCCTGGCCACCGCGTCCCGAGGCCGCGCTCCTCGCCCCGCTGCTTCCCCAACACACAATGCCCGGGAGCGGCCAGCCCAGGGCCGGGGCACGGCCGCCGCATACGCTCGGCTCCCCTCCCCTGTCAGCGCCGCGGCCCGGGGTGACAGCCCCGCTCCCTGCCCGCGCCGCACCGGCCCCGTCTCTCCGTCCCGCCGGGCCCGGGGCAGGGGTCGAGCTCCTGCGGGGCTCCGGGCCCGGGGCAGGGGTCGAGCTCCGCGCCCGGAGCGGCCGCTCCCGCCGGCGGCGCTGCGGGCGGCCCCGCGCCGTCCCTGGGGAGCAGCTGTCAGAGAGCGCGGCCGGGCCGGGCCGCGGCTCCCCGGGCCGGCGGGCGGGCAGGGCGGGGGAGCTTCGCCTGGCGGCGGCAGCGCCGCGGCCCCCGCGCCCCGCACCTCAGGGTGGGTCCCACGCAGGCCGTGTCGGTGCTCTCGATCTCCTGCAGGATCCGATCATGCTCGGGGAGACTCTCCGCCATCTTGGATGGGAGGGACCCGGCGGCCGCGCCGCGGCGGGAGGTGCCGGGGAGGGACCTGGGGAGGGAGGAGCGGCCGCGGAGCCGGGAGTTGGGAGTCGCCGGGGAAGGTTCCCCGGCGAGGAGGGGGCGAGGGCAGCGGTGAGGACAGAGGGGAAGGGGCTGGAAAGGACAAGCGGGTCGCACCACGCCCGCGCGATTCGTCCCAGCTCGCCGGTGCCCCGCCGCCCCTGTCAGGGGAAGAGCTGCGCCGGGAACATCCCGGGAGCCCGGCAAAGCCCCTCCGTCCCCCCGGGCATCTCCAAGTGTTGGTGTCCGGCAGAGACCGTGGGCAGCTGCGTCTGCCCGGCGCCACCCGCTCCGACCCGCTCAGCGCCCTGTGACAGACGAGGGACACCCAAAATCCGGCCCCTGTCCCGGCTGCGCTCCGGACGGGCCGCCCGCCCACCCCGGGACACCGCGCTGCAGGGACGCCTTGGAGGCTTATAGGGTCAAACCCGGCCCTTTCCTCTGGGATAGTTCTGGTTTGTTTCATGGTATGGTCTTGTTTTATTGTTATTATTATTTGTTTGTTTTGTTTTGATTTAAGCGCTCCTGCGCACGCGGGCCGTGCCCGTGCCTGTCCCTGTCCCTGTCCCTACCCCTGCCCCTGTCCCTGCCCCTGCAGTCGGCGGCTGCCAGGGCCGGCGGCACTGACCCCTGAGACGGAGGCTCTGCGGGGGTTTCTGCGTTCGGGTTATGTCACAGACTTGATTCCTTCCATTCTTTAGGTGATGGAAATTTGGGGATCGGGGTAAAAATAGAACAAAACAAAACAACAACAAAAAAAGTGCACCTTTTGGCGCGTTGGCTTGCTACGTTTCACTAGAAATTGACATATTGTTTCCTAGTGCTTCATTTTTTGAGGAGGATCAGCCTATCTTCTATTTAAATGATATGCTTTGTGGTCTGTGGCCAAAGATGAACTAGTCCTTGGGTTTTGCATGCTCAGGAGACAGGATACACCTGCTTTCTGGGCAAAGTTATCTGCACACAAGTGGGAAGCCCATGCAAAAAAAATAGGCCAGATGTGTAAAACTTCAGGTTGATGTGTAGCTACTTTTTCCAGTGAGGAACTAACAGCAATTCACAACTGTGAATGCATCAAGGTCTACAATAGCATTTGGCACCCTTCCAGTTACTGTAATCAAACTCGTCATCTCTCCTGCCCTGGTGCAACTACACCTGTACCCAAGTTAGTAAATGGCTGCATGTCTTGTCTGTGCTTGTGGCTTTATCATATTCAGTGTTGATTCAGATGAATTTATTGATGACACCTACTAAATCAACAGGGACTATTCCAAATGTAGACAAGTGCCTACAAAGCGCATGATGCAAGAAGAAATAAGAAAAATCCTACAAGCTACCACCACAGTAGTAATTCCTTCAAGAAGTCATTCAAATGCAGTAATAATCTTCCCACGTTCCTTTTTTTCCCATCACCAAAGTACTGAATGATCGATTGACACATTTTTTCTGGGTAAATTAAATTTTCTTTTTTTAGCCTGATAGTTACTGCAACCTGATGCCTACAGTGCCAGGCAGGCTATTTTTAAAACTCTTCTACAGATACTGACATTATACTTAGACATATAACATCATAATCTTTTGTGTATTACTCTTTTAGGGACAAATATGCAGAGGAAATTTTTTCAGTTACACTTTTACCATTAAACAGTTTCCATAAGCTGCAAATGAAAAAAAAAGTCTTCAGATATTTAGGAATATCAATGGTAAAACCTTAAGTAGTTGTGTCTTTAGTGATTAAAATAAGTTGCATTTCTTAAAAATGTAAGAATAAGAAGCACTTCATTATTTAAAAATTTAACTGTTAATGTCAAATTAAAAACACTGTTACACTAAATTTCCCCTTGTTTTCATTTTTAAGAGTAATTTCTTTCTGCACAGCAAATCTGCAGCCAGTCATCAGTAACAGATCGCTTTGTCCTGGTGAAAAGAAAGAGCTGAGTAGCTGACCTAGGTTTGTATATTTTCATTTAGGGCCAATCACATTGAAATTAAACTCAACTGTCCTGTAGGCATCAGGGTCAGGAAAACCAAGTTTCTAATCTGTTGGACTGACTAAAAGAACAGCTATAGAATGGAACATATCCATCATAAAGAGTATAATATTATCAAAAAGAAGCATACCTTAGTGTGGTTCCAAGAGGCAACTCAAAGGACTGGATCTCAGCAAGGGCATTTTCATATATCTGATCTTTGTTTTCTTCTAGACACAATTCTGACAGATTTGACTTGCTTTTCCTTGCCATAGATTAGCATAAACTAGTCTAACTTTAGGAGAGGACTTTTATTCTGATTATTATAGTTGACTAAGTGACTCTGTAGTCAGCAAAACCAGGCATGAAAAAAGAGATCCTGCACTAACCTCGTGACTCCTGAGGACTTTGTGTCCAAGAATGGTGCACAGCTGCTGTTTTCCTGTCTGCTGCTAACATTTGCCTCATAGGCAGTACCCAGGCCTCACACTATCTTTGTTCTGTGTGCATCCAGTTTTTTTATCTTAACAGGAAATTTTCTGCCAAAATAATATTTTTACATCTTTGAAATAGCTCATCATTAACAAATAATAAGCCTGAAATTTGGTAATTTTGAAAACACAATTTTAAAGTGGCTTCAGACACTAGGTATCAGTGCTTAATTTCTCTGTTAGGTTTTATGAGATTAAAAGCAATTTTAAAAAAAATATTGTGTTTTTCCTTTTGCTTGTGTAAAAAGCCTACTTGCACAAGGAATTAGCTGGATTTATGAAACAAGGTTATGGACCTTGTAAAGCAGATAAGAAAAGCAGAGAAACTTCTATGTTTTCCTATTTTTCCTTTGCAGAATTATTAAACAATATTTTAATAAAAAAATTGCAAAAAATGCTCTGTGATAACTGTGTTTTTTCTGAGTGTGCAATAAAAAAAATTGTTACTATTGCCTGCATGGGAAAAAAATGGATAAGCAAATGCTGAGAGCAGTGCTGTCAAGTCGTTGTCATTATGATGATGGCAAAGAAAATACACAACCGCCATGAATTACTTTAAAATTTCAGGCAGTTACTTCAAACACGAGAGTGAAGTTCTAGATCTTTCAATTTAAGCCTTATTAGAAGGCTTATTCAATACTATTTGGATAACCAAACTTTATACATCTGGCTATTTTAAATATTTCAAGGATTTTAATCAAAATTTGTTTCCTATTTCAGTACTGCTCCTGAAAAAAATAACAAGAGTCTTGGTCATAGTGCAGTCAACTATTAAATGCAGGAAAACAGAGATTACTCATTTCTGATATATTGTGATATATTGTTTATTCACCTCTCTGTGTCCACTGGGAACACTGGGGAGATGAGTTTACGTCAGTAGCAATGGGAAAGAACTCTAAAGGCTATAATGAGTTAAGGCTACATGCACATCTCCAATGTGTTCCATTGAACAAGCTGTTTTAATGGCCTGTTTATTTTTAACCTAAAGTAAGCAATTGCTCTGCTAGCATTAATAACCAATACATTTCCTGCTCTCACATTCTAAACAGAGTTGTGAGTCATTTTTACATTTTTCACAAGAAATTGGAGCCTGTGATTGAGCCATCCAGCCACTGGATGTCACACAAATGCAGATGAAAGGATATTGTAACTGCTCATTCTTATCTTAACAGTTACCAGGCTTGGTATTAATTTAACAATTATCAGATGACACTGTGAAAGTAAAGTGCAAAAATTATTACAGTAAGCTTAAGCTTGTTCACGTTGTACAAGACAGTACATCTACTGCCACTGTGGCAGGCAGGCCAGGTAAATCAGAGATGCCTTGGACATCTGCACCCAGCCATCAGACACCATGGCTTGCAATAAAAATAGAATGACCATTTATACAAAGAGCTTTTATGACTTTAAATTAGTTCAATACTTACAGGGGCTTTGGGTACAACTACTTCATTCTTTCCCCAAAATTTAAATAGAAACTTGCTTTAGGAAATCAGCAAACCAAAATAAACAGGACTCTGAATCCCTTGTGCAAGTGTTCTTGTTGGTATCACAGCTGCCAGGAAGTAAATATGTTTAGTAAGAAAGCAAAACAATGTAAAAAGAAGCAAACAAATATAAAGGTGAATGACCAAGACACAGGCAGGTGTTATACTCTCTTCGTTTGTGGCAGTGGGTGTTGAAGTACCTTGATTCTTTGCACAGGATTAGACCAAAGAGCACCAGGCCCAGCTGCTTGGCTCTCCAGAGTGGTTTACACCCACACTGAACCTGTCTGAGATCATGACATGTAGAAAAGAATCTACCACATAGTGGTGGATCTGTGTCTGACCTCAGATCACATTAACACCTGTCAAAAGCCCTTTCTGCTGCAGATGACCCTGCTTCCTCCCTGTGTTGTCTGTTCAACCTGCGCTCTCCTTCTCCACCTCTGTCTTCTGCTCTTTCCATTGTCCAAGGAAATAAAGGTTTTTTGCAAAAAGACAAAAGGACAAATTCAGTACAGTCATATGACATCAGCTTCTGGCAGAACAGTATCTTTACTTCACAACTATACATAACATAGAGGCTGCAACTAAATAGATTGTCAGCAAAGACAATGCTAAATATTTAATTATACTTTTTTTTTTTTTAATTTATGGTACTCCCTATGCAGAAAAGGAGAGTAGTAGTTATAATTTTTGAAGTATCACACTTGTAGGAGTTGAGATTTAACCAGATCAAGAAGCCTGAGAAAGTATTAATATGCTAGATGTCCTTGGTAGAAAAAGGGAAGGTATCTTCTGTGCTGGTTAAGTTCCCGCTATTTCTGTGAAGGAAATATTTAATTGTCTGGTCAGGCAGAAACTTCAGGCCCTGTAAGCTGTAAAGACAGCTGCTGCCATCTCTCCAACCATCCTGAGATTTCCCTTCAAAAAAATAAGCCAAAGCACCTATTTCTTGCTGAAGGTGTAAAAGTGGTTCACAGCTCTGTGTAGAATAAGAGGGGAAATTGAGGCAAATAACAAGATTGTGAAGCAGGAAGCAGAGGCTTATCTAGAGCAAAACCACTTTCACCACGTCCTTTTTCCCTTTCATCTCATAATACTTACTCTTCCCCAACCCCTAATGGGATACCAGAGGGCCAAGAACTGCTGGTTTAAATCTTGCCTGCCCGTGCTAATACTTTAAAAACACATTTTACCCACATGATCATTACATAAAATGTAGCATGTGCTGTAGTATAGAATCCCTACTGGGTATGCAATTCCAGTGTAAATTTTTTTTTTTTAATTGCCGATACAAGATTAGAAGCATCAAGTTTTTTTAATTTTCTTTCCCAGTTGGATTGGAATCCATTTTGAATGATTCATGGAAAAGAGGGAAGGGGGAAAATGTCCACCCTCAAATGGAATTACTATAGATAATTTTCTCATGCAATGCCATCCATAACAAATTACTTCATTGGCCATTGCTCGGATATCTCCTCTTTACATCCCTCCACAAAGACAACAATGGCATTAGTCATTTCTCTGGCATCTCCTGCTCTGGTACTGCCTCCTTTCCTGGGCTCATCCCCAAACTGGACCCTTGAAAACCAGCTGATTCTCCTTAGAAACTGCACTGGCTGCTCCCATTTCCCTTGTGCCTGCTTTTCTGGTGGCCAGACCTATTTCTGCCTGCCTCTCAGATGAAGCATGGTGACAACAACCCTGTCAAATGGTTCCTGGGGAAAACAGGCAGATAAGGAGAAGATGGAATTACTGCTGCCATATTTTTCCTTGGTGCAGATGTGCTTTAAGAAATTTTATTTAATCTGTAACCTGAATAGCTACCTGGGCTTCTTGATGAATACTGCCATTGGAGATTTACCAGGAGGAGGAAGGGAGCTCTAACTTGTTTCTCACTCATTTTTCTACCCACCCTCCCACCCCCTGAAGAACTCTAATCAACAACATGCACTTCCCTGTACCTCAGCATCAACAGTACAGCTGCACCTAGCTCAGCCTGGCACATTTGATCAGGACAAAATTATTTTTTTAAAAATGTACCATTGAAAGTTTGCATTGAAAAGCTTAGGCCTATACAGCTCAAGGTTATGCCATCAGGAATTAGGCACCTTTGCCCAAGCAAGTACAACAAGAGCAGCTACATGGGAACAGATGATTAAGTGCAACCTATGCAGTAATAACCTGTGTACAATATAGGCTGGGATGAATGGAGGACTTAGGCAGTATCAGTTTCAGCTGGCAGAAACATATTGAAGACAGCAATCTTTGCTCTGTAAAAAAGAGAATTCTAGCACCTTGCTAGACCTCTTCATTCATTATGCAAAAAAAATTTATTCTCAAAATTTTTCATTTTTTGAGATAAAACCATGCAATTGTGTATGAAATAGGAGTGTAAGAATAATTTAAATAAAAGGTACACTGGTTACCTCCCTTCTTGTGCTTTGATCTTTGTTATATACTGCTTTTTCAGAATAAATGCATCATGAACACATTAATAACTTTGATATTAACTTCTAGAAACTGTAATAAAACCCTTACCAGATTAGGTAGAAGGCCCCTGTGTATGATTCACAGCCATTTGTTGCAAATCAATACATTTTTTAGTTGTCTCAAATGCGCTTCAGTATGGTAAGGGTTTGCAGGAGAAACTGTGCTTTGTTATTGCATATAACATTTTTATTTCTATTTTAAAACATTTATTTTTAGGTATTATATACACACCATAAACCAAGGGAAAGATGCTAGGAGTCGTTTTAGTGCTCAAAGCAGTACCATGACTAAAAATCTGAGTTTCCTTGAACTGAATTGCACCTGTCTCTCTCCAAAAGCTACTATGACATCTCCTTAGCATGCATCTGATAAAATGTATTCTTTTAAGGTTACTGACTTGCCTGATCATTCCATACTGACAGTGCATTAGATAGCAGCAGTGAAATTACCTTGGTTTTCTTTCAGAGCATTTAAGTGAATTATGCTTCCTGAATTGTAATCAAAATGCATAAATCCATTGGTTTTTGTTTTAATTATACTGGATTTAAGAATTGGACAGTGTATATAACAATCTCCACCAAAATACTGAGGAAACAAAGTTCTATTGCACATTTACACCTGTTTTTTTATAGTAAATTGCTCAAAACAGTATGCATCTCTCCCATTAGGAAGGCAGTGTATCACTAACTACTTTTGAAATTTCACTGAGATCTTACAAGTGTCTAAAAATATCTGAAGAGATTGACAGCTGGTGCTGATGTTATCCATGTCTAAGTCAATAAAGGAATCAAGACTGCTGGCTGGACAGCAGCACTTCTCTCTGACAGCAGTGGGAACAAGAGGAAAGTCACTCTCATCATACACGTTTATGTAATGCTTGGTGCCATTGAGGAACAAGTACCATTGTAACATACAAACCATGAAATAACACTCAGCCCCATCTCCGAGCACATGTAAAAAGTAATTAATAGATCAGACTAAATAAATACCTCTATTTTTTAACACAGCATTCGAATTTCCTATTTGAAGAAGACACTTTATTAACACTGGATAATAGCCTACAAACTAGTGTCTTTATCATTCTCCAGAACAAAACAGTGATGCATAAAAAAAGTTTTCTCTCTGCTTACTAGTGCTTTTAAGGAACAGGCATCGATTAAAACCTTGAGTCAAGGATGTGCCTTGGGAGCCTGAGAGCTTTGCTTCCTTGTAGGCAGCGAGGAGCTATGTTACAGATGCTGTCCTGGAAGACATTGCTTCTCTGGAACAGGAGGGCTTTTTTTTCTCCCCCCT